TGTTACTCGCCAAGATATTCTACAGGAGGGGTTTGCAAAGGTCTTGATCTCAAAAACAAAATAAAACTGCAAGATGCGAAATAATAAACACTGCGTCACGTTCGTGAAGTAGTCATGATTTTGTTCAAAACTCTGATTAGGTCAATATTGTAGGTTCCTTTTTTAATCGAATACTTCGAAAACTTGTAAACCTGCCCACAGACGAGAAGTTAGAATAAAAGACGCTGTTTACTTGACCTACATTGTGCAAGAACAAATACTGTTTCCCGTGGTGCAACATGAAACCAGCCAACATTTAACGTATTTGATTACGTTACCTCAGCGAGCGTTGCGAAAGAAGACCGACTGATGGAAGCAGGAGGAGCAAAAAGCCTTCTTGGAACGACTCGTGAAAGTGACCTCAAGGGAAGACGAAATGCCATGACGAGATTGCTAGAAGAGGAGAAAAAGAAACACCCCACTTAATGTATCCGTTAGAATGCAACATTGTAACTCAGAAAAGTCACTGCATAATGTTAAATTTCAGATGACTCGTCAAATCTCATAAGGTTAGAGCTCATAAGATGACTTCGACAACCAGACATCGCTTTTATTTTGTTTCCATTTATATGTAAACACGCCTCATTCGAAAACAACTCACGTTTAGTAACTTTCAGTCAGATATGTAGAGTACAGGCACATTCGTTTTCAAATTTTCGGGCATCATACTATTGACTTCAAAATTATACAAACAATATATGTACGCTAAGAAAACACTAACAACGACAGGCTCTGAATACAGCTCATAATTAGATAACGAGCATTTGCGAACACGGAACTATAATTAGAGAGCTTTCTCAAGAGATTCCCAAATCCCAACACGACGTTCGTAAAAATGCACCTTACCCAGGCACCTACAATCGTTCCCAACTAGGAGGCCACGCAATTAGGGTCTTTCACTCACCTTTCGATAGAAAAACCACCGTGATCACCTGAGTCGATCGAACTTTCTACGTGTTGGCCTAAGGAAACCGCACTTAACGAGTAGTGTCCAATATCTCCTCGGATCAAACACTCCCTCTTGGAGCCTGGGGAAAAGGTGTGTTGAAGTTGTTGAACGATAAAAGTTCAAAATTAATAGTTTACAGAGAGATATCGCACAGCGTTTTTATTACCTAATAGGATAATGGTTGCTGTGTTGGTTTCGCAAGAAAAATGGGGCAAGTTGAGGAAGAAAGTGTCCCTAAATGTGAGACGCTCACTTCGTTCCTTAGCCCCCTCCCACAGACACACCTCTAGATGGTCAGCCAACCACGAGGCTTGAATGCACGTACGGCTGTCATTCTCGCTAAGCTTCAGTGAACACGCTGTTGGATTGTATGACCGCCTGTCGAGGCAGATCCTTCCAAACAATTCTTATGAATTGATTCACGTTTTAGTAAGACTCACTTATGCATTACTAATTACTAATCGAACTTTCTACTCTTCAAATACTCTCTCTTAGAGCCAATAGAATCATAAATGGATTAACATCGTGAGAATGGCGATAATAAATCGTCACAAAGGAAACTTCACATGTAAAAACGCGTGAAATGTAAATTTAATATCCTTTCAAGAGTACAGCGCAAGAAGCAGAAGCTTTTACTGTAATCCCTAGGATTTCTATGTAAGACTTGTTCACATGCAGTCTTCGTGTGAGGGTGTCACGCATTTCTTACAGGCAGAGTTTCGTGACGAAGGGCTACCGCCGAAACGTCAGCTTTGAAACTCTTTGCAGTGAACACCACAGTTTCTTTAGAAAATTATCCCCTTTATTCATTTTTTCCTTACCCTACTTATCATTTGTGTTCAGCTCACACAATCGCGAAGAAAGTCTCCCAATCAATTCATCGCAAGCCCGTTAAAAAAAAAAGTTTGATAAGAGGACTAAGCTTTAAGAAACAAGTAACAAAGAAACCGTTGGCAAAATATCACTTATGCCCTATTTTTTAGATAAAAGATACCTCTTCCGACGGATCTTTTAAATATTAAATAGAGAACTGCTAGTCTAGCCTATCTGAAAGGTCCAAGTAGGTTACAAAGACTAAACTATTTCCATCCTAATTTTTTTTCTCTTCAAAGTAGAAGTGATTACATGAAATAATATTTGTTTGAAATTACGTCAGATGTTAACCACCTAGTGCTGGCTGGCTGGGAATTCAGCAAATAATTTTTACAATAACAAAGGTAGAATTAAAAATAGGCAAAATTGCCAGGTGCCAAGCGCATTGTGATTAGGAGTCTT